GAAGAAATATTTTTAATGAATAGTAAAAATTGGATAAAATTTAATCAAAGAATAACACAACTATGCATTATATTTAGACGAATAATTCCTACCCATAAATAATATACATGTGTTTTTATGTGTGTTGCTTTAAAGTTTAGATTTGAATTTGAGTTAGATTTATGTAATCTATTGGAAACATAAGAATATGTAAAGCATGGAGAATCCCAAAAGAAATAGAATAAGTATTTTGAAGTATTTTTTTTAAAATGTTTTGGGTGTTCTTGATTTGAAGCAATTTAAATGAAAAATAAATTTTATTATGTATCTATATGTTTAAAATTTAAAATTTATTTGATATTCCATTTTAAATATAGCATATTGAATGAAAAATATTTATTTAATGTTATTTTTTTTAATTTTTTTTTTTTTGTAGAAAAATACTTTTATCATTGAAAAACAGTTACTTTATCCACTTCTAAATAAAATTTTAAATTTTAAATAAAAATATACTATTATTTCACAAAAAAATCTAAAAAAAAAATCGAAGCATTGCTAAATGCAAACACGTCTGTCATTTAATTTGGTGTTTTCCTAACTATTTTAGTTGGCATTTATTTAATGCTAAATACAAATTATTGATTTCTACTTGTATGATAATTATAAATATAGTCTCTTTTTTTTCTTCTTCTTTTTTTTTATTTTTTTATTTTTTTATTTTATGATGTAGAATCCGCATCCGTATGAATATAGTTGATTGCTTTGAGACATGTGTTATCATCTTTATATTGAATATTACGCATGTGAACAAAATAGTATTGTGTTACTGATTTTAAAAAAAATGTATCTATGATTTTAAAGTTTAACAATATTATTTTAGTTTTATTTTCTATTTGATTTGTTTTTTCCATACTTCTCAATTTACAGTATATACATTTTTTTTTAGGATATTTAAGTTAACATATTCTTATAGATTACTTATTATATATGAAATATTTCTTAATTAAAAAAATGATTATATACAAGATGGACATAAGAACTTTTAATTTACTGATATTCATTTAGGAAAAAAAGAAAAATAAGAAAAATACGATCATTTCTATTAAAGGAAATAGTTGAAAATATATTATTCTTTATTTTTCGCAATCTGTTGTAATCATGAATATATTGTATTCCTTATTTTTCGCAATCTGCTGTAATTATGTTCGATATTTTCCATACTTTACGTTGTAATCTTGGCTATATAATAGAATTTTCTCATCACCACAAATTAGTGATGATCGCATATCACTCTTACAATTTCAAATCTTAAAAAAATCACATTAAATACTATTTTTTTATTATTTAAAAATTCTTTTAAAAAAAACTCTATATAAATGTAAAAGTTGGATTTTTTTATTTTTTTTTATGATATGAAAATTTGTAATCACTGTTTTTTTTTTAGTTCGTTAACTATTAAATTAGACGAATCATGCATGTATAACTGATAAAAGTGGATAGATAAGGAATAATAGTATTTTAATTACAGTGGGTAGATAAAAGTAGTGAAATGACATTTTTGTCCTTACTTTTTTGGTATAAAAGTAATGATGTGATGTAAAGTAGGGGTATTTGTGGAAAAAATAGGGTATTTAATGAAATGGTTACTTTGTAATTGGACGTCCCAAAATAGAAACATGTATACTTTCTAGCTGGACGAAGGGAGTATATATATTTTTTTATATGAGGTATAGATAATTGTGTATGAAATATAAAAATAATTGTTAGGGTGCAAACCGAAGTTCCATATTGAAAATTGTAAAGAAAATTTCAAACCTTATAAGTCATAGTCAATTCTACTAGTACAAGGCCTTTTGGAAAATATCAAAAAATAAATCCGAGCAGGCTCAGCTAAAAAACAAATTCGGACGGGCTCAGCTCAAAGCGGACAATTGAGTATCAAAGTCAAGTACGTTTGGGAAAAAATTGTAGAAAGAACATAAAATCAAATACCTATTTTTTATTTTTTATATTATACTAAAAATTATTTTTATATTCAAAATACCATATCAATAACTATTTATATCACATTATACAATTATTTAATTCAAATCTTATATTCAAATCCCAACTCAAAATCTAAACCATTAAACAAACACATATATACACATAATGCATATATATTATGTTGTATGAAAGGAAGTAGAGGAGCGTAAAAAAAAAAAAAAAAAGGGCTGAGAATTCCATCGCCAAATTTACTAGTTTTTGCTACAATTTCATTATAGAAATTAACTAAAATTTTTTACCTCGTTAGATAAAAGAGAAAATTCAGGTGTGGTCGAAAAAGTTCATTTTTATTCAATATTTTAATATAAAATATTGACTTGCACTCGCACATAATAAATAACAAAATCAGTGATATATATTTCGTTTGGTAAGATTTGTTTTGTTATATTTAATTTGCAAATTATTAGATTTAATCGAATATTTACTCAAAACACACTCGAAGAGCAGCAATTGAAGTTTCCACTATAAAGAAAAATGATAATAAAAAACCTTATAAAATATAAATTAAATAAAAAGATGAGAACCAATGTAAGATGAGACAAGGTGACGAAGAATATGATAATATGATGTAAATTTAAATGTATTTACCTCTAATCAAAATAATATTATCTGTCTCACATAATATATTTATATTTTTTTCATTTGTTCCGCATAATTAATTTTTTATAAATAAATATACACTTTAATCGTATTTTAAACTTTATATTTATCATATTTTAAGATTAATTAAATTAATTAGTTATTTTAATATTAATTTGTAATTATTTGTAATAAATAATAATTATTTTTACTATATTCATAGTTATTTACTAATTATATCTCTGCTTAGATTTCGGCAGGAAATTAGAACAATTAGAACTGATTATATATATATATATATGACTTTTAAGATTTAATCATTTTACAATATTCATAACAAAATAATAAATAAATAAAATCAAACAACTAATTACACATGTCAAATTGATTAATTTGATTGGTAATGTGTTAATTTGAAACTATTATTTCTAGTTCAATCAAATCAAGTTATATTGAATGATAGAACCATTTAATATAATAATTAAATTTAAAATCAACGTAATTATCAATCTTCGGAAACAAAATCATAAAAAAAAAAAAAAAACATAGAATGTTTATAATAATCAAATATCAATTAACTAAAAAATAAAATAAAATAAAATAAAATTTACAACACAATCCAAAATTATGTTCATCATAAAGTTCAACAAAAAAATTGATGTAATGAGATTATGAAAGAGAGTTGAAATTGAAGATTATGGTAATATTTGAGTAGATAATAATTGAATTCGAGAACATATCGATAAAAGGATAACACAATCAAGAAGAAGGCAAATAGAAGAAAGCTGAAAAGTGCAGGAATGACAGGTTATGAGATAATTAATGACTGATAATAAAACTTAAAAAAATGAGATAAATATATTTTTATTTTTTTATTTGAGTGATGCAATAAAATAAAATTTAGTTAATTCTCAATTTATTCTAATTAATACTATCTTCGTAAATCAATTTATTCTAATTAATTCTCAATTTGATGTAATTAAATAAAGTTTAGTTAATTATTTTATATTTTAAAAATATTATAAAATATGTAGAACAAATCAAAATAATAATAAAAAAAAAATTTATAAAGTACGGGAAGCACATAAAATAACAAATAAATTTATTGTGTATAACAATAATCTATACAATAAATACCATATTTGATCAATATATAAGATAGATTTATATAGCACACTTATGAAATATCGTCGGGCTTGGATTGTAGGATATTAGATTCGGTAGGAGGTTTACCAAATACGCATTTTTGGGTAGCGACTGCAGATTCCCATGTCATAAAAAAAAAAATATAAAATAAAATGTAACACAATTTTAATCAGCATTAATCAATAGGCTAAACTTTCAAGTAACACTTCCACATTTCTAAATATCCATTCCTAGCCAAACTGTCAAATTAGTAATTATGTTAAAAATGTTAAGTTTATGTACTCAATGCAAAATCCTCACATGTTAATATATAAATGGAACTTTTAGGGGGCTGAATTGAAAAATTCAGCCGTAATATATACAAACAACACATAGTCTTATTATACATCGTACATGTTGTATATAATAATAATAATAATAATAATAATAATAATAATAATAATAGGTATTGTTGTTTCATAATTATAGTGTGCTGTATAACAGTGTGGTGTACTGAAATCAACTAGTATTCGTATAAGATTATAGTATGTGTTATCAGTTCATATATTGTATTTGTATTATTGATTCATAATTACAAGTGTATTATATAACAATATATAGTGATGAAATTAAGTATTGATTGTATTGTATAAGACAATGTAGATAACGTGCTGCCGTAGTAATATCGCGTGCTATTTGACAGCACACCGATGATGCTGCAATATATTGTCTGCACAGCAGCCCCGTCAATATAAATATATAAAAAACCTTACAAATTTATTCATAAATAATCTCAACAAAATGAGAATTTGTGTGTACATAAATTATTACTATCAACAGATAATACTACTACTATATCCAGACTCGACAAATAATTGAGATTAAAATAATCCAAATGTTGAAACACATCCAAACAAGCTGCTAGTTACAAATATTAAATAAATAGAAATTACAATAATAATTTTATTGAAAATTAAAAAAATAAAATAACGCGACAGAAGGCGAACATCCCTAATACGGCACTTGTTTCCGGTCAAACGTACGTACTGACACGTACTTTTTACGCACATAATTTATGGTTTGTTATTCAGAAGGAATTATTAGAGTGCGAATTCTGTTACACTATCCTACACTACACCCCACAGTAAGGAGGGCACAAACGTCATTTCACTATCCACAATTAACCCAGGATTAATTAATTTAATTCGCCAGTTGTTTAAGAAACTGACGAAACAGCACATCGCCATCCCCAAAACAAACCCTAGCTTTATCCTATCCTCATCATCGTCATCTTCATCGTCATTCCCCATCGCCATTTCCCAACCAGTTTCACCATTCCTTTCTTTCTCTCCCATCAATCCGCACAATGAGCTAGCAGTAAAAACAGCATTGGCTCTCGATTTCAAGGACAAGCACAAATGGACATGGACAGACCCCATTTTCGCACTACTGCCAGCACCACCGCCACTGCTAATGCCTCTGCAACTGCTTCCGCTTCTGCTGCTGCGACTAGCGAGCTCTTCATCTGTTTCTCTTCTCGTCTCTCGTCTTCCTCATCTATGAAGCTCAGTAAGTCCATTCTCAGCCCCGGCCGGGCCGCCCGCGACTCCGGTCCGGTTTCCCTGTCGTCTTCCCTGAGCCGCCGCCTCCGCACTAATGGCAGCCTCAAGGGAGGCCAAGCGTCGCCGTTTTTTAGCACTACTACTGGGAGGAAGAGAGGTTGCGGTTTTGAAAATCCGGAGCCGTCTTCCCCTAAGGTCACCTGCATCGGGCAAGTGCGGGTGAAGACGAAGAAGAAGGCGAAACAGCAGCAGCAGCAGCAGAATCGGAGTTTGTCGAGGAGGCGGAGTGGGGAAGTGAGTTTCAGGAAGATTGAACAGGGTGGGGAGGAAGAGAAGCAGAGGTCCTCCAATGGCGGAGCGCAGTATCAGTATCAGTATCAGCAACCCCCGCCGCCGCCTCCGCCTCCGCCGCCGCAGGAGTGTCTGCAGCAGCACCGGAATCAGAGATGGGTGCATTTGCCGGTGTCGATTTGCGAGGCTTTGCGTGGATTTGGGGCTGAATTCAGCTGCTTGCTCCCCTGCAGCAAAAGCTCTTGTTTCTCGACGCGGGAGAAGGAAGACGACAAGTGCGAGAAACAGCAGCAGCAGAGCGGATCGGGCAGCGAGAATGGGTGTGGGGCTGTGTTTGCGAGGTGGTTGGTGTCGGTGAACGACGGGGAAGGAGGGAGGAGGAGGGAGATTGAGCTTGTGGTCGGCGGCGGAGACGAGGAGGAGGAAGAAAGGATGTCGATGAGGAGGAGGAGGAGCTCCAGAAGGCATGTGTTCGAAGATATTGAGATCGAGGACGACAGGATTAAAGTAAAGGGGAAGACCGTCGACGAGAGAGGCGGCGGCGCCGCCGAGGAAGCGGCGGCGGCGGCAAGAGTGAGCATCTGCATACCTCCCAAGAACGCGCTCTTGCTCATGAGGTGCAGATCTGATCCAATGAAAATGGCGGCCCTTGCCAACAGGTTCAGCTGGGATGCCCGCGCCGAGAACGACGGCAATGGCCATTTTGCAGAAAAGGAAGAAGAAGAGAATAAGGGGAAGAATGGGGAAGAAGTAGTTGCAGAGGAAGACGGTAATGAGTCGTCTGTTAATGTAGAACATGAACAAGAAGAAGAGTGTTTTGAAGAAGTCGATGCTGCAGCTGCAGAGCCTAGTTTACAATTGGAAGAGGAAATCGTCGTTCAAGAAGAGTTGCAGGAACCAAATGCTGTGGAAGACGATGAGGACAACAAGACATTGTTAGAAGAAGAAGAAGAAGAAGCAGAAGAAGAAGAAGAGGTGGAGTCTAATATGTCATCTTTTGAAGCTCTGCTTGACCAAGAAAATGCTGTAGAAGAACCCTATCAAGATTGCCTCATTCAAGACAACCACCACGTCGAAGATGCCCCAATTCATCATTCCCCTCTGTCTGAAGAAGAAGAAGAAGAGATTATTGACAGCAATCAAGTCCCATCACCGCCATGTGTAGCTGCTGTGATGGACAGAGAAAACGAAGCAACACAAGAAGAAGATCAAACAGACAGTGAAGAGAACGACGACTCCACCATCTCTGTAAACAATGAGGAAGAAGAAAACCGGTTAAAACCTCTTCCAGAAACGCCTGATAATGGAGGAGACGAAGATGAAGAAGCAGAAGATGTAAATCCTTGTAAAGAAGAAGAAGAAGAAGCAGAAGTCGAATTTTCAGAGAATCCCGACATTGCAAGCAGCGATGAACAGCAAATTGCTGTCCAGAAAGAAAAGGGGGGAAATCCAGTACTGCCAGAGTGCTTGCTGTTAATGATGTGCGAGCCAAAGCTATCCATGGAGGTCTCAAAGGAAACCTGGGTCTGCACCACCGATTTCATCCGCTGGCTGCCGGAGAGGCCGCGCAAATCCGCCAAAGCCACCAATCCCCCCGGCGGCGGCGATAACGACCCAGCGTCCAATAGAAGGCTCAGCATCGACTCCAAAGCAAATCCTTTAGATCAGCAGCCGCCACGGTCGTCGTGCTCGTCGATGGCCACCATGATTGAGCAGAAACTGGTGAACGCCGTGGGGTACGAACCCTTCGTGCTGACGAGGTGTAAGTCGGAGCCGATGAGGTCGGCGGCGGCCAAGCTGATGCCACTCCCTGACTCTTGTTGTTGGAAGAATTCGATGAGGAAGCTGGAGCCGCACCGGGGGGCGCCGCTCGGGGTCGGCGCGGCTGGAGTCGGGTTCTGAGCCGAGCCGAGGATGATGAGCTGGCAGAGGAGAAGACTTGGTGGAAAAGTGGGGAATCTTTTAGAGACCACAATAGTTTTGCATTTTCCAGTCTGTAAATGCTTAATTTAATTTCGTTACGATAAATTTAGCTGTTCAACTTAAATTAAATTCTTCATTTTCATTCTCAGAGCTATTTAATAAGTAATAATCTCCATTAAATATGGTAAGAAGAATAATTAACATTTGCCTAAATGGGTAGCGCGGGGGATGGTCACGTGACGCGGATCCGTGACCTTCACATGAATGAAGCACAAGGCTCCAGACAGTTGTCTGTTGCACAAAAGAAAAGAAATTGTAAAAAACTGGAGGGACATGGAACTGTAGGCACTGTACGTTATTGTTGTTGTTGTTATGCGGTCCAATAAATCAATCATGTGAATAAAGAAAGAATTTCTCAAGTAGTTTTAACGTTGGAAAATGTCGAATGATGAGTGGAGGAGTATGCAATGCAGTCAAAGCTGCCATTTAGTTTCCAATAATTAATAATGACATGTACTTTTCCCATTAATTATATCTTCAAACTATATTCCCATTCAAAAACCCACACAACTTATTAACACAATAGGGTGGCGGAAAGAATAAATCCGACATTGAATAAAAGAACTAAATGCATGCCATTGAAATGTGATTTACTAAAAGTATTTTGGGCTAATACAATTAAATAAGTCAATATTTCTAATAAATAGAGGTTCAACAAAACCGTTAAATAATAATAAGATTCCGGAAGAGACATGAGTGAATAAATTGGATATCAATATTACGATAAAGCTAATTTCAAGATCATACATTCTAGAGATGTTATTTTGATGAGCATGTCACCTATAAAAATAGGTCGAATGACAAGGACAAAAAGAATTCGAAAATTATTGAGTTGAATATTTTTAACACGAGCCTGAGAAACCAAACTAAGAATACTCAAAGTACTGTTGATATCGAGGTTAAGCTACGTACCCTTGTTACTGAAAGTTCTAAGATCACGACAAAAGTTGATCCAAACTCACTGATAGCAGTGAGAAGATCCAATAGATAGTGTTGTGAGTCAGGTTTGACGACTACTGCTGATAATATAAAAGGTTTGACGGCTCATATATAATACTTTTATTATATGTGGATGACATGTTACTATATAGATTGCAAAGCTAAAACAACAATTGACAGAAAGATTCTTGATGAAAGATCTTGGAGAGCCGAAATAAATTTTTGGCATGCCAACAACTTGAGATTAAAATTGTGGAAAGTTGAGTCCTTTACAAAATGAATATGTAGATGAAATTTTGAAGGAGTTCAACATCGAGGATGCAAAATTCCTAAACACACTCTTGGTAAGTCACTTTAAGTTTTCAAATAAAAAATCACCAAAGAAGGTGTTTGAATGTATTTATACGAGGAGTGTTCTATATGCATCCACTATATAAATACAAGGAGTGTTCTATATGCATCCACAATAAAAATTCTGATGTATACCATAGTTTGTACAATACAGGTACATAGATATCTATAAGACATTGTAGATAAGACATTAATATTCGAGATAAGAGAGCTCTAGTTAGTTTGATTTGTGAATGCAGACTTAACAAGAAGCGGCTATGATAAAAATATATCAGAATATGTGTTCATTTGTGGAAGAACAACACTATCATTGACTTCGAAACTACAAAATATAGTTATTTTGTCGACAATAAAAGACAAATAAAAGTAACGTAATCTAGCAGTAAAATGATTTGACTGTAGAATTTCATATTTAAGTTGGGAAAGCATCCAAAAACAATAATTTTGGGAGAGAATATAAAAAAATAGTAGTTTTATAGTGACAGTTAGAATACAATTCACTTAAAAAAGAATCATATATTTTATGCAAAAATGAAAATATTGAGCAAAGGTTTCATTACCTTCGTGAGCTATTGGAAATAGAGATTTTGAAGTTCAAGAGGAATTAGGGAAAAATCCAACAGACATGTTCACTAAAGTGATATCTTTAGACAAATTGAGGTCATGTTTAATTCCAATTGGCCTCGATAAGTATAGAAAGAGGCTTGACGTCGTTGCAATTACTAGTTGAAGATGGAGAACAAAAACGAAGAGAGTTTGAATTTAACTAGAAGATTGTTGCGATGTAAAACTCATGATGGAACCTGGACGATTACTGTACATCCATTTTCTCGACCTCCGTTCGTCGTAGAGTTTGCCTAGGTCTTCAATTTTGACATCTATATGCAGTTGATATATTTTTCTAATATATACAAAAAAATACTAGTAAAATTACTTGGTTTAGTTGCTGCCAAATGTATTTTTTTTAAAAAAAATCAAACTAGGTCAATAAATTTGTGTCTTCTTCTCCACGTTCTATGCATTTTTGTTTTTAAAATTTTCGCAACAACATAATTTTTTCAATTCAATATTTTACTATTGCAAATCCACAATTCAATTCCCAAACTCAATTCAAAATTTTACTACTCTCTCCGTCCCATAACAAAGTATCTATTTTTCTATTTTAGTCCGTCCCATAAAAAAGTATTCATTTCCTTTTGTAGTAACTGTACTATCTACCTAACATTACAAATACCCTTACAACTTACAATATATTACACAAATGTCATTACGTTTATATCACACGTACTAATAAGGTTATTTTAGTCATTTTTACTTTATTCCTACTATATCTCAATATAATATTAATATTTCTAAAACTACGTGCAAAAAGCAAATGAATACTTACTTCTGGGACGGAGGGAGTATTTTTTTTTTTTAAATGCGAAACAAATACACCAATTTTTTTTTTTAATATTTTTAAGTGAAATAATAGAATGCGATGTTTTGTTTGAAAAATAAGTACTTCCCCTGTCAATACGGTATGTATATATTTGTTGTCCAAACAACATACAATTTATATTTCCGATTAGAGCTCTATGTCGAATGTATCTATTTTTTTCAAAGTATAGACTCACTATATATTACAAATACCCTAACATTTATATTTATTCACATTAATACTTTTACAATAATTTTACATATTATAGGGTAAAATTATCTTTAAATACAAAACTATCACAAACTATTATTACAATAAAATATTTATTAAATTATATACAAAAAATAAATATATACTTATAACATGAACAAGAATAATACATTTTTTTTTTTATTGACAATAAGAAAATTATGTTTGTTTGGGGTTTAATTTTGGGTTAAAATTTGAATAGTACCAAATTTAAACTGGAATAGTGACATAATGTAATATAAACAAACAGGGGCAGCTATTAATAGGAGCATAGTGGAAGATCGTTCAGGCCCAATTTTAAGAAATGACCTATATTTTGAAATATTAATATATTATTATTAGATATATTAAATTTCAAAATTAAATTTTAGATTTTAAATTATATTTTTTCTTCTGCATAATTATCTAAGTTAATTATAATTCTAAAATTATTTTTTAAACCCTAATCCCAAATTCAATGGTCGCCTTCACAATCCCTTGGTCTCTTCTCACTTTTTCCCCTCCAACCAGCAAGGTTCACAATTCCCTCATTCTTTTTCTTCTTTTCTCCCTTGGTTCAGGGACATAGACAGAGTGATAGACAATCATCTTCTATCTTCTTCTTCTCTCCCTCGGTTCAGCGACATAGACAGATAGACAATCATCTCTGTCTCTTTCTTCTTTTCTCCATCGATTCAACGACATAGATAGACAGACAATCCCCCTCCATCTTCTTTTCTCATTCGGTTCAACAACGACATAGACAGACAGACATGCGACACACCATGCCTTTTTTTTTTTTTTTTTTTTTTCTGGTATGAATTAATTTAATAATTTTAATTCTCTCATCAATTAATTCTATTATAGTAATTTTATTGTTTTTTCAATTCAATTTTTTTTTTTTTTTTTATAAATTGTTGGATTATGGTTTATGAATTGCAGGAAAGGCGACACATTCGGCCCCAGCTGCGCTCTGTCCAACACTGCTGGAGAGGATTTCAATCCAGGTTTTATTACTCCTTATTTTTTACAATTTACAAATAATATAATAAATTATACCTCAAAAAAAAAATTATGAGTCGGGATATGAAAAACGCAAAAAGAAAAAAAGAATTAATGAACTAATTCAATCTCAGAGTGGAGCATTTAATAAATTTATTATAAGAAAACCAAAGTTGAATGTCGAAAATAATTTGAATATCGAAAATAATTTGAATATTGAAAATAATAAGAATTTTATTGATGATTATGTTGGTGATGATGTTGATGTTGAAAGTGTTGATATTGCTGATAATGTTAATAATAATAAAATTGAAAATATTGACATTGATGATTATATTGCTGATTTTGATAATGATTCTGATGTTATATTTAATATTTTTTATCCAAAAAAATTGGGATTCTTTAAATTCTGAAATGACTAATATGTTAGCAGCAAAATTGTCGATCATATTATTTTGAAAATTCATTTTATTACATGCTTATAGGGCCCTGAAAATAAGTATTGATACGATGTTTTGAATACAAAATTGATTTTAGTATAATAGAGAAAATGATTATGTATTTGAGTTGATATTTTTTGGAAGAAAATTTACATGAATAGTATAAATTTCTCAAAATCCTTCGATCAAACATAAGTAAACAATTTTAAAAGAGAGGAGAAATAAACAAAAACAAATAAATAGGTGTGTTTGGTTTATATTTCAAACACAAATTTTCACTATTAAGTACGTGATTCCTAATAAAATTATACTCCCTCCGTCCCATTATAATAGTCCTGTTTATCATTTTCGTTCATCCCAAAACAATAGTCTCATTTCCATAAATAACCATATCACTATAAAACTACTTTTACTTTTTCATTATTATAACACAATTGTCACTACTTTTTACACTAATACACTCACAAGGGTAAGAAAGTCTTTTAACCGTACTTTTTACCCACTACTAATATAATATCAATATTTCTTAAATCCCGTGCCAAACACAACCCAACTATAGTTCTGGGACCGAAAAAGTATCATTTTTTTTTTTAAAAAAAAATATTATATTAAAATACTATTTAAACTAAATCTTTTAACTAATATATCTAAACTCAAACCAAGTAACAATATTTAAGAAATAAGCATGCATGCATGTCACCATGCAATTCCATTAAATGTAATTAACTAAAGGAAGTTCTTCTGCATCATCTTTAATTAAAATTAAAATTTTTATCTTATTAAACTCATATTCAAGTCTAATTTACCTTAATTTATTTGAACTTTTAATAAAATATTCTTTATGTATTTTATATTCCATTTTATTTTTTAAAATTACATAAAACACAAGCAAAATTTGATGTTCTCTTATGAATATATTTTTAACGGTATATTTAAGTTATTACTTCCCATAACAATCTATCAAATTTTTTTTTATTTTGGTATGTTACATAAAAAAAATATTCATTTATTTTTTTTAGTAATTGTACTATCTACCTAACATGACAAATACCCTTCCAATTTACAATATATTATATAAATATCATTAACTTTATATCATATTAGTTTAGTCTTTTTATTTTTATTTCTACTATATCCTAATATAATACTAATATTTTTAAAACTTCGTATAAAAAACAAACTATGGGACAGAGGGAGTATTATTTTTTTGTTTACGATAATAATAAATATTGAAGGGCCAATTATATGCATGCAAGTGACTTTAAAAATAAAATTATAAAAGATGTGATTTTAATTATTTATTACTTATATTTTACTAAAATTTTCATTTTCCACTCAAAATATTAAACCAACAAAAACACAAAATCCAAATTTCCAAGCGAAAACTCTAATTAACCAGCCCATTTGACACCCTAATACTAATCAAATTTTATCTTACTTTATCAATCTCCCACGGCACGCAACGAATCAATATATATATACATCAAACACTCATCCAGAAAAAATTTGCAGAAATTGAAGAAAGTCAAATGCATGAGTTGCACGAAATGGAAATTAACCCTAATTAATACTATACAATTAATTAATTATATATCGATCTTACACTACACTATAAATTTAATGCAACTGCACAATCGTCAATGGAGCTGCCAAGTAGTGACATTATTCTATTGTATTCGATGATGAAGCCCCAACGAAGCATCATGTGCTGTGTTCTTCCTAAATTAATTAAAACAATTCTTCCATCCAAAATCAACATATATTCAATTAATTAATAATCCCAATTTTTCACCAAATCACTCAACTGTATCCAAGATCATGTTCTTAAACTGATCCTGCAACTAATTCTTACAGATCGAAATTGACCATGGCGAGGCCATGGAATGAGCAATACCTCGATCTCATCCTCGTACCTTCTGGGCTGATCCTCATGTTTGGATATCATCTAATTCTTGTCTACAGATACTTGAAATGTCCTGAGAATACAGTAATTGGATACGAGAATCACAACAAGAGGGCTTGGACTAGACGAATGTTTCAGGTACGTGATTCACTGATCGATCAATTTTTGCCATTGTAATGTATTGTGAAGCTGATTTTGTAGCCAGAGAGGCACTGTACATCCAGCTTCTCCACCCTACAAGGGTTTTGATGTACACTTGGGTGTGTTTGTTTGGGGATTTGAATTGTAAAAAATTTGAATTAAAATAGTTGTATGATGTGATATAAATAGTTGTTGATCCGATGTTTTTAGTGTAAAATTAATTATTTGTATAATATAAAAATTGAAAAATAGTTGTTTGATTTGATTTTTTTTAGAAAAGAAAAAATTGAAAAATCGAACCTGTTCGACTTGAAAATTTTCAGATTTGGGTTTGAGTATTTCGACTTTGCAAAAAATTGGGTCAACTCGAACCCGAAACAAAAAAAAAATCGTGTCGTGTTTCGAGTTGACCTGATAACCCGAAATATAAAAATCAGGTCAGGTTTCGAGTTTCGTGTTTTGAGTTGACTTGAATTTTTTTTATTATAAATATAAAAAATAAAAATAAAATGAATTTTTTTAGGTTAATTTAAGTTTTTTTAAGTTTTCGGATGTGTTTCGTATCGATTTTGTTTGAGTTTCGGGTGACCTGAAACTAATTTAGGTAAACGTGAACCCCACCTGAAAGAATTCGTGCCGTGTTCGGGTCTAGGATTTCAGGTCCAATTTCGTGTTCGGATTGATAGTTTTTAATTATCCTCATGGCTCAACCTGACACGAACACGACTCGAAAATACGAATTGACACTCCTATCCACCCCAAACATAGATCATCAGATCGAATTGTGTCAACAAATTTGTGTGTTTTCTTGATCATTCTTGATTTTTTAATTTCCGAAACATATTGATCTATGAATCGTTAATTATCGTTGATTTTGATGCGATAAATTCAGGTCGATGTTAAGGACCGGGGGCCGGCAGTGTCGGTGATCAGCGGCAACATAAGCGCGGCCACGGCCATGTCTTCGATATCCCTAGTCTTAACCTCGTTGCTCGGGGCGTGGGCGGGGAGCTCGGACACGCGCATTTTTAGTAGTAATTATATATACGGTAGCACGGCGGCGTCTGTGATCTACATCAAGTATGTGTCGATCCTCGCGTGCTTTTTGGTGGCTTTTGCGTGTTTTGTTCAAACGGCGAGGCGGTTCGTGCACGCGATTTTTCTGATCAGCATGCCGGACAACGACATTCCGGTGGGGTGCGTGGTGAAGGAGATTATTAGCGGGAGCAATTTTTGGAACGCCGGCCTGCGGTCGCTCTACTTGGCGGTGTGTATGGTGCTGTGGATATTTGGGCCGATACCGATGTTTGTTTGCTCGGCAGCCTTGGTCGGGATGCTCGTAAATGTCGATAGAAATACGACTAAGTTGCATAACTATAAGTGGTGAACTAAACGAATGGTTGCTTTAAGGTGAACATGATTGTATCGATCGTTTCTTGTATAATTTACTTGTAATATATTTTGCGTTGAATTTTCGACTTGAGTCTGATCGTTGTATAGATGTGTTTTTATTTTATTTTTAATTATTATTTTTTTTAATATTGTGTATTAGGCAAATTTTTGAGTAAGTGTAATAACCTACAAATCAAATAAATCAAACAAGTTATATTTGATAAGTCATGTGTGACAGGTTCGACCAAGAAGCTTAGATAGTGTTCGAACTGATGGCATTTCGTTCACCATTTACCATACCAAAGTATGCCAATCTAACACTCTAACCATTTCTTATATTCCATTTGTTTTATACAAACGATACTATTTTTTATTTTTGTTTGTCCAAACAAATGATACAATTTTTTAATTTAATAATTGTATTGATTATCTAATATATTACTTTTATAATTTTTTATATATTAAACAAATATCATTACTTTTATATTACAATCTAATAAGAACTTTTTTGTCATTTTTTCTTTACTATAAACCAATTGCCAATGTTATTACAACCAAACTAAAGTTGTAGTAAGCATTTTTTTAATTAATTAATTAAATTAAATTAAATTAAAGTTTTGGGGAGTAGGAAAGAATCGCAAGCATGCATGCGCCTGTCAAAGTCGTACGTTGATTTGAAGTAGCCATTAATATAAAATTAAAGCATACAAGTTGTTATTATTTTTGTTAACCTCTTCTATTTATTGTTTTTCCTATTATTTTTTTGTTTAAACCTCAGATGTTTCGGGTCATTTGCCAGTGTGACTTTTATGTTGGACCTGATTTGCAGAGTATTAGGTTCGGTCGAGGGTTTACCCGATGCGCACTTTCGGATAGCGACTGCGGATTACCACGTCATTAAAAAAATAATAAAAAAAAATAAAAAATAAAAATTACAAGTAAATAAACATAAATTATATATAGATTAATTATTTTTAACTTAAAGCTTGATAATGAAGTGATCTTATTGAAGAAGTAATTAAATTGGTCAGGATTAGTTGGTTTTTGCATTATTTTCTGTCTAGATTTTATAGTCACCGTGAATTTGTTTAGTTTTGATTTGAAATTGAGGTGTTAATTCGAATTTTAATTTAAATAATATTTTAATTTCACATTTTTTAAGATAAAATAATGTATTTTATTGAAAATAGTATAAAATAAAAAGTTGAATTTTCTATTTGAAAAAAAAAAAAAAAAAAAAAAAAAAAACTACACTCTTTTTATTTTTTCATTTTTTTGTATGAAATTATCACTTTCGTCAACAAATATACATTGTTTATTTTTACAATTAAAGAATTTCACTGTCTTTTTTTCTTCTTTTATAAATTCTTACTTGAATTAGATTTGAGCTCAATTTCAAATACAAAATAGTCAGCAAATATATGTGGTATTTTATAAGAGAAAATAGAATAATATTTACAGAAAAATTTTAAAACTACATAATAAGATATAATACAACCAGTGCCTTTTGTTGGCATTTTTTCTTTAAAAAGAATATCAATTTTCACATTTTTCTCATTAATTGTACTTTCATAGTCATAAAAAATATTTCCTTTTCTTTTTTAATAAAAAAAATCTAATTTTGTACTTTTTCAATTATAAAAAAATAACTATTTTTATTCATTAAAATTAAAATTAAAATTAATGTCCAATTATAAGGATATCGACGACGGAAGAAATATTATTTATTTTCATAATATATAATATTCAGCTAATCTTCAAAAAAATTACAAAAAGACATTCAATCAATTTAATAAAATACTGATAGTTGAAATGTATTTATTTATGATTTCAAACTAAAATTAATATTGTACATTTTTTTAATAAAAATGCAGTACTGTGTTTTTTTCTTCCAAAGTATTACACTAAAATAATATTAGTCACGGTTGATGGATGAAAGTCATTCCTAATGTTTGATCCCAATTTCGGATCAGTTTTTGATTTGTCTCAGAAGGCGGTTGTTTTTTAATTATTATCTACTCTTAGTTTAGGTACTTTCCACATTATCAATGTTTCCTTTTTTAAAAAAAAAAAATCTTGCATAGAAAATTATTAGCGTAAAAAATAGTGTTAACTGTGTAATAATAATAAAAAATTAGAGATAATTTTACGGTGACATGGTTATTTATAGAAATGAGACTATTGTTTTGAGACGGACAAAAGTAGTAAACAAGACTATTATATTGAAACGGAAGGAAGAAGTATATATATTTTACACTTGTAATTTAAAAAGTCTGCATTATTTTTCACTGGGTAATTTAAAAGCCACCTGATATTACATGTATTTTATAAAATATTGCATAAAAAAAAAAAAAAGTTATATACAATATTCTTTAAAACACATGAATTTTTTATACAATTTCTAAATAATGAGAAAGAATGAAAGTAAAATTTTCAAACTACTTAATAAGGGTGTGTTTGTTTGTAAGATTTTGCCAAAATCTCATTATTCATCAAATTTTTTTTCCTCAAAAATATCAAATCAAATACTTATTTTTTATTTTTTATATTATATTAAAAATTAATTTTACGTTCAAAACATCACATCAATACCTATTTATATAACAATTTAAATTTAAAATTTTTACTATTCAAATTCTAATTCATAATCCAAACTCCCAAACAAACAAATATAAGTGGATTACTAGTAATTTTGCTATATAGATATATATATATATATATCCGCAGCCATCTTCCTTTACCTAATCCCTCATTCTTTAATCTTTAACCTTTGATTAAGTAACTAAATCCCAACCTACCCTACCCACCACGGATTACTTAAGTTCTATGTTAAAGATTCCCAACCACAGCAGCCCAGACATGGTCATAATAATCCAACTTCAATTTTCTTAATCTGGTCGAATCAAGATCAATGGGGGGCCTCACATGGAAGGAAGAGCACCTGGACTTCGTATTAGTCCCCAGCGGATTGCTTCTCCTGTTCGGATATCACATGTTTCATCTCCACAGATGCATCAATCTCCCCGAAACCACTGTCATCGGCTTCGAAAATTACAGCCGAAGAGCCTGGGTCGAAAGAATTCTTCAGGTCAGTTAGTTCGAGATTCGATTCGATTCATTCACCATTATTATTACATACACTCATCCAACGGCTCAGATTCGATGATCTGCCGCAGCTCGAGGCTAAGGAGAGGGCTCTCGCCGTCGGCGTCGTCGGCGGCAATTTATCCGCCGCTACTTCCCTCGCCTCGATCTGCCTCGCGCTCAGCTCGCTGATCGGGGCGTGGATCGGCAGCTCGTACAGCAACGACTACATTTCGAGGAGAATTTACGGGAACACGACTGCGACCGTCGTGTTCATCAAATATATCGGGATTCTTGCTTGCTTCATGGTCGCGTTCGCTTGCTTTGTTCAGACCGCGCGCTGCTTTGTCCACGCGAATTTCCTTATAAGCATGCCCAATTGCGAGATGCCTGTCGCCGTCGTCGAGACTGCCGTCGTACGGGGAAGTAATTTCTGGGTCGTCGGCCTCAGGTCGCTCTACTTTGCGATCAGTTTGCTACTTTGGATCTTCGGCCCCATACCGATGTTCGTCGCATCTCTGATCACTGTGCTCCTGCTGCAGTATCTCGACAGGAATTCTGAACCGTATCCCGAGTACAAATCGCGGACAAAGCACGTCGAGACAGTTGCAGATCGTGCGGAGGATCGCAGCCCGAACGGGGCATCGATTGGTCCGCGACGCTGATGGTCGAAAAATCGCTCTTTTTGTAGATATATTTCCTTTAGCGATCGGTAAAATGTTTAAGTAGTCAAATAACAAATCGAAATTCACGAAGACATCAAGATCGTCGACATCGAATGCTAAAATTTACGAACTTTAATGCTAAGTTTATATCCATAATCGACGAACATGTACAACAAAACGGATCGAATCTTACTCACATTCAAGTCCTCCATTATTGAATATCTTCTGAACTTTGATCATCGGCCACATCGGCCGGTGGATTAGACGGCGCTCGGCTATTGTCGTTAGGATTTTCAATTAAAGACTTGAAGGCGAGCTGACCAGAGTAGAGAAACAAGCCAAGAGAATTAGCCCCGAAAACGAAGGTTGCAAGATAGCATAGCCCGTTGATGATTGTCCTGTTCGATAAGTTAATGATAGCTCGAATTAGTATGGATTGATGGAGTAAGTGTGATTGTACTGCAAGTCTGCAAGAACACAGAGTTACCTTATGGTAATTGTTATTTGGCGGACCTGAAGAAGAAGAAGAAGAAGAAAACAGAATGTGCAGAGAAAATAGAATCTAAAGCATCATGATTTTTGCAAATTAGAAATTAGAATCTGAAACAAATTAGTACAACAACGACAACGTACGGAGTAGCTATCTGAAATTGTCTGGCGATTGAGAGAAGATTCAATGGTGATGGTGAATTTGTAGAGGATAAGCGCGATCGCGGCGGCGCCTAACGCGCCGAGAAATGCCTGAACCGGCGAAGGTGGAGACTTGGCATTGTCTGCAGATGGAGATAGTGATTTCAAGGTCGCCATTGCTTCGTCCACCAGCGATTTCTTGTCGCCGGATGATCGGAATTTCTGGTGCAGGTCATTGGAGATTTGGCAATAACAGGAAATGCACAAATCCTAAATATTCTTACAAAAATAAATAAATAAATAAAATCGGGGCAGGTAGAATAAATAAATTAGCAGTACCTTTTCTTTGACAATCTTGGCGCGGCGGCGGAGGGAGCGGAAGAGGAAGACGGTGATGGCGCCGGTGAGGAGCACGCTGGTGGCGGTTTGGATTGGCGTCGGTTCGTCGGAAGTGGCGAAAATCGGGGAAGTTGTGGGGAAGAGTTCGATTGGCCCATCCTTCGCCGGCGGCGGCTCTTCAGCGGTAATGGATTCGTCGGCGATTAGGGCAGTCCATGTTTTCCGGGCATAGCAGCGATTAGGGTTTCTGGATGGGAAGCAGAGGGAAAGGGACGAGGGGAGAGGAGAAAGTGAGGGGAAGATGCCATTGGTGGAGGAGAAGGGTGAAAGGTGCCGATGGGCTTGCAACATTTAGCTATGGCTGATCAATCCTTACCGGTGATGTTTGGTGTCTGTTCTGTTCTGTTCTGTTCAGTAATCGCAGAAATCGGAAAAGATGATATCCACAGAAGGTACAAATGTTGGTGCGTAATGTACAAGTTCTGGAAGGTTGCAAAAGTTGTGATTTTTCAAGAACTTTCTAAATAGTGGAAATAGATTTCTTTAGGGGATATTTATTTTTATGAATTAATTCATTTTCGTGCAATATATGTAACTGGTTTATAAGAATAAAATAAGCATGCATAATTAAGAAATTTAAAATTAGGGTAACATTTAATTATAATTTAGTTTTATCTTTTATTATTTTATAATTCTTTTTTATAAATATAATTTGTTTCATCCTATGAAACATTATATTAAAATTACTGTTTAAATAAATACATAATATTGTTACGGCCGTGCTGTTCAAATTTCAACTATTGGGTATTGGCTGTAGCTTATGATAAGCTCTTGGTTGTAGTAGATGATATTGGTTGTAGCTTATGATAGAGTTGCCGCCGCCGCCGCTGCCGGCGGCGGTGGTGGCGGCCGCAACAGTGTAGGTCTTGTAGGTGGTAGAAATAATAGAGAAGAAAATGGTAGCGATTGTTAGTGGTTGGAAGACTAATGCTGAAAAATAATACTACTTCCGTCCGACTCTAAGCTCTCATTTACTTTTGTCGTGTTTAAATATTAATTATTATATTAAAATATAGTACAAATTAAGAAAAAATTGCAAAAAATATCTGACATTTGTACAAAAAATTATACAAATATAAAAGTATTTTTAATGTTAAATACAATGAAGTAAAATATAAATGTGATTATTAGAGGCGGACGAAAGGAGTATTCAGTACCGAATCTTTTCTAATATTTTTAAGGGCTAAATTGCACAAAATAGATTTGTGGTTTAACGAAATTGCGTCAAACCCCCGTACTTTTAAAATTGTGTTAACTCCCTCGTGCTTTTATAAACTCTGCATCTAACCCCCTCGGCGGTCCTTATTTAACGGTATTTGACTTAAATGCGTCCAAACTGCAAATAAATTTTAGAATCTCATTTTCTAAACCCCTAAACTTACAAATATATTTATTTTTCTTATATTTAGCCTAAAAAACAGTAAATATAAAATTTTAAAACCGGAGAAAAATAATTATTTTTTAGTATATTTATTATTTTTTTAGGCTAAATATAAGAAAAATGAATATATTTGTAATTTTAGGGGTTTTGAAATTGAGATTTTAAAATTTATTCGCAGTTTAAGCGCATTTAGGTCAAATATCGTTAAATAAGAACCGCCGAGGGATTAGACGCAGAGTTTATGAAACCACGAGAGAATTTGACGCAGTTTTAGAAATATAGGGGATTTGGTGCAATTTCATCAAATCACATGTGAGTTTTGTACAATTTAGCCTATTTTTAAATATTATCTTAATGTGTTCTTACAATTGCATGGGATTCTTCCTAATATTTTTTAAATAATATCTTAATGTGTTCTCATAGTTCATTGAAACTATAAGAACCGATTTGAAGTACTTTTACTTAGAATTCAATAATATCTAATATATATTATTACATTAAAAGAAAGTTGTAATATCAATAAGTTCATAAGTGTCATTCTTTTGGTAGGATTTTTTTGTTATCACCGCCGGCACGCCGGTGTTAAGCTCCTGCAAATTTACAATCGAAATGTCAAGCACCGATGTTGTGTATATATTACTTCACCTACCACCAGCGTGTATCTTCAATCACTTGAATAGACTTGACGGATTGCTTTGCAGAGAATCTCCACAACTATCTTCAGCCTACCCTGTAAGTTAGTAGAATTTTGATTTTGATTTTTAAATTTGCACAGTAATTATACTGTAAATATTAATTTGAATCCACCAATCGAACACACCCTTATTGTTATTAACCAAGGATATCCAAAATAATCTCGTATGTTTCAAGTGCATATATAATAAGGACTCGAAATTCTCAAAGTCGCCTTTTTACTTAAGATTTCAAGTCACTTCTAAAATTATTTGAAGTTCTTCTCACCAAAACACTTTTGGAGAATAATCATCCTCAAACTATAGGTAGAAAATATTTTACTACTATTTTATTGGGTGTTTTTGTGGGTTTGATTTTTGATTTTTGATTTTTGAATTTGAATTTTTGATATAATGTAATAGATATTGATGGTATATTTTAAATATAAAATAAATTTTTAATATAATATAAAAATAAAAAATAATTATTTGATTTGATATTTTAAAAAATGAATAATAAAAACTTGAGAAGATTTTACATAAGATTTTTACTATTCAAATTATACTTTTGTCTCAAAAAACATCCAATCAAATAATTATTTTTTTTATATTATATTACAAAATTATTTCGTCTATTTATATCACGTATTCAAATTCATTTTTTTACTGTTAAAAAATACAAATCCAAAACTCAAACCCACAAGCGAACACACCTTTAATGTTTATCCACATAAAATAGAACCGGAAATCACGTAGATATTGATTTTTTATTTTTTTATTTTATTTTTTTAGTTTTATAGAATTATAGTACAACATACTATATATGTAACAGTGGAGATGCCAAATCCATCGACCACAACAATGCAATCATCGTCAATAAAATTAAAAAAAAAAAATAATAATAATAAATGCAATCATCAATGGAACTTGTATTTGCGTCCAAATCCCCTTTCAAGTAATCAATTTCCCAGTTTGCTCTTTTAGCCAATTCCAGAAAACCTTATCCACTCATTCCCACAATAGATAACAAAACAAAAAGCACCATTTTGGATAATAATTATTCACATGAGAAATGATCAATCCCACAAAAGACATGTTCGATGAGTACGTACCAGAGATCTAGTTATTACATCGATCATCATCAATATCTACGAACCAGGAGAGAGATCATAGAAATTAGAATTACATACATTAACATACATACATATGTATATATGTTTGTATGTATATAATCAGCATTCTTGGAATCGAAGATTCGTTGCCACAGCTCTTGCCCAAAACTTGAGCTGTGCTTTCATGTCTTCTCTGGACATCTTCTCTGCAGCCCAATTAGGCAGAGCTGATTCGCTACGGTGCAACAATGGCCGACCAGGGTTTCCTTTGTCCAAATCTTCTGCACCATGAAATTTCAAAAATTCTATGGCGTTTAAGCTCTTCTGTGTCTCAATTCGATTCATGGGGCATAGCTGATCTTCCCGATTCCTTCTCGACAAGCTACAATTCTGCGAAAATGTCGACCAGAAAATAATTAATTAGCATAAGAATTCAGAATTCAAAAAAAGGGTTTTGGTTCGTTCGGACAATAAGTCAGTCACCTTATTAACTCTTCGATTATGGGTTTCTGAATTGTTGAGTGAAGCTTGTCTGATCAACTCTCCCATGGAAAACTCTCTCTCTTCATCGTCTTCATCCTCTTCGTCTCGGATCAGAGATGCTGGGAGCGATGGGGTACGAGGTAATTTGTCTGCAATTTCAGCCCTGGACAGTCGGGATTGATCTTTAACAGGAATATTCTTCCTGATTATCGATTCGTAGGTTTCTTCGAAGGATTTGCCATTATTGTGGTGATCATCCAAGGTTGAAGACGATGAGGTGCCAGGATCCGACATACTTCTGGAGAAATTATTATTGCTCCTAGGTCTTGTGTCGAGCAAATTCTCAAAAAACCAGACCTCATCCAGAAGCTTCCCAGGCCCGAAAGTGTCATCAACAAGAAGACGACCCATAGTTGTTGGCAAGAAAATAATCCACACCACTCGACATCACTTAATTTATTAAATCAAATATGTACAATTAAATATAACCCATACATACATATATATAGGTAGAAAAGATGAAATTAAATTAAAGGTTCGATTAGATTGGGCGATGGAGTGGGCAGTGCCAAGTGGGATCAAATCGGTGAGTGTCTGAAAATGGTTCAAGAGACGTGGAGCGAAGGAACCCAGACAGATAAATTTCAAATTAATTTGACAGGACCAGTGGCCAATAAGATCACACCACTTACAACCATGGTGCCTGGTGGTGATGACGATGGAGGATCAGCCCTTAATTAACACCTCATTAATTTTAATCAGATAAACCGACAAGACGACAAGCGAGTGAGCAGTGGTGACTAATTCTATTGGGACAAGCAATCGATCACAGTATGGGAATCAATTAAGAAAATTATTTTTTAAAAATATAAAAATCATTGTTTAATAAATAGATTAATGATATCACTATATTATTATTATTATTATTATTATTATTATTATTATTATTATTATTATTATTATTATTATTATTATTTGTTTGGATTAGGTGACAGCAACAAGATATATAGATAAATATTGTGTCTGATTTAGCGGTCAAACGGCGAATGCTGGTTGAGTCTTTAACCTGCAGCGGTTGGAAGAGATGAAGTGCATCAGCTTTTTATTTAATTTAGATTTTGACTGTTGTTTCTCGGAGTTTTCAAATTCAACCAACTACTGTAACCGTCAGAATATGCGTTAAAAAAAAAAAAAAAAAAACAAGTAGGACGCATTAATAACAATACATAATACTCTCTCTATCACGTTAAAGTCGTTTTGTTTATCATTTTTATCCATTTTAGAATAACAGTCTAATTTTCATAAATAATCATATCACTATAAAATTATTTTTATTTTTTAATTATTATTACACAATTGCCACTATTTTTTACACTAATACACTCACAAAGGTAAAAAAGTTTTTTATTTGTATTTTTTACCCACTACCAATATAATATTAATATTCTTTAAATTTCGTGCCAAACACAACTCATAGTATAGTTTTGGGACGGAAAGAGTACTGTTTCCGTCTGACTTGAAGTACCTCATTTATTATTTTATTTTTTTTGTTGATATTTGAATAGTAACTATTATATCAAAATATAGTACAAATTAAAAAATAAAAAATAAAAATATTTCTATTAATGTCTTTACGATACTAATAAAATTATATTTATATATATATAAAATATTGTATAAATATAAAAATATTTTTAATATTAAATACATTGATCTAAAAAATAAATGTGACTATTAGAGGCTGAACAATGAATATTACAATATATCATGCATTTTTTGACATCATATAATAATTTAATATACTATATAATACTGTAAACATATATTTGGACGAGGAGAACGCAAAATCAAACAGGTATTGTGATGTTGGGAATTAAGTTTTATTATTTTTTAAATGTTATATGTGAGGAGATATTGAAGAAGGGTGTGTTTGTTTAAAGTTTTGGATTTGAGATTTGACATTTGAAATTTGAGTAGTAAAAATTTAGAATTTGAATAATTGTATAATGTGATTTAAATAGGTATTAATTTAATATTTTTAATGTCAAATTAATTTTTAATATGATATGAAAATAAAAAATAAATAAATAAATATTTGATTTTTGATATTTTTTAAAGGAATTTTTTTTTTGATAAATAATAAAAATTTGGTAAATTTTGATTAAAAAATTAATTCCAAAATAAATTTCTTCAAATTTGTAGTGATTAACCAAAAACGTCATTTCAGCGTATATATAACTCCAACAGAACCACAAGAAGAGAAACTAATCTAATAAACTATCTAATCTAACAAACTACCAAAGCCACTAAAGAAGATTGGACCAAATGCTAGAACTATATTGTACAACAAAAAGAAAGGAAATTTAGCCCAACACAAACAAATAAAGATAAGGGGAAGGCCCAAAGATATTCTATTACACTTTTTCTTTTCTTAATTCTTTATTTTTATTGAATTATATATAAATATATATTATATATATGACGGCGTCTACGTGCTGAAATTTTCAGCACTGTAGTGTTGAAAGCACACAGTGTGTTGTAAGACAGTACACGGATTTCAGCGCTGTGTTGACGATACTATGCAGCATACGGTAGTATCGGAAACACATCGTCTAGATTTATATAATACAAATATTGCATATGAACTAACAACACTAACTAACAACATATGTTATATTCTTATACAATACAATCACAGCATGTACTGTTATACAACACATTTGTAATTATGAACCAAAAACACTGATATAGCACATAAACTGACAGTATATATTACAAATGCTGATATTTTTGATTTACACCCTAACCGCTCCTTGTATATATCTATTAGAAACGACATAATGAACAAAATAACAAATTCCAAATTTCAACTAAAAGTAATTATTTTTCACAAAATACACTATCAAATTAAATTTATCGAATCGTATCCTCTGTTGATAAGGTATCCGAAACATAGTTCTTTGTCTATACATCCTCTGCCCTTTATACCAAATTACAAGGTACAACAATGTCATCAAATCCCTTGCATCACAAAAATGTAATGAACCCTAAAGCTTCTGCAACTCCTGGATAAAGCCGTCGATGTAATTATCCATGAACCCATCCCTGCGCAACCTCTCCCTCCACTTTCCATGATTCTCCTTCACCATTTTCCCCACCTCACTCCCCTCATCCATCACACTCTTGATCGCCCTGCTCAGATCCTCCTTCGAGAACCACCCCATATCGCCGCGCTCCACCTCCACCGCCACCTTCAGCTCCGCCGCCAGCAGCCGCGCGTTCAGAATCTGATCCGCCAGCCGCGGCACCACCACGATCTGGCTCTCGCTCAGCACCGACTCCCACATCGACCCGAACCCGCAATGGCTCACGAAGCACCCCACCGACGGGTGCCTCAGGATCTGCGTCTGCTGCACCCACCCCCCCTCGACCACCCCCCTCCCCCCCACCCTTCCCGAGAACCCCTCCGGAAGAGCTTCTTCCATGGAGTCGGCCCCCTCGGGCTTCGACAGGGCGATGAAGAATGGCAGCCCTGTCATCTCGAATCCGAGGACGAGCTCCTGGAATTGGTCCTTTTTTAAGATCATTTGGCTACCGAACGCGCAGTAGACTACCGATTTTGGTCGGAATTTGTTTAGCCAATTGTTAAATTTCTCCTCCAATGGCTCTTTCGGGCTTTCCGGCAGGTACGGCCCGGTTAGGATAACGGGCTTGTTGTACTGGGCCGAGAGGTAATCGCACATCGGGCCCTCCAGCTCGCGGCAGGTGCGGATGCCGATGGCGTCGCAGCCGCGCATCGCGGCGGCGATGCGGACGTCGAAAGTGGTGGCGCCGTAGTCCGTGGAGATGAAGGACAGAGTCAGGGCCTCCTGGCCGCGGAGCACCACCGTGGAGGAGGGATACCCTTCCGGCGGCTGCCGGAGCTCCTCCTCCGTCAGGCGGCGGTCTTTCGGGAAATGTCTGGCGGGGACGATTCCGATCGACATCACCGACGCGGAGATGACGTTGTAGCAGACGGTCTTGAACCCGATTTCGCGGCCCAAGTCGGGGATCCAATCGGCGAAGTCGTAGAAGACAATGTCGGGGCGGATTCCGGCGAGGATGGCGGCGACTTGGGCGGCGGTGGCGTCGAAGGCTATGGCGAGCGGGTTCTTGGCGGTGATGTCGATGTCGGAGGCGGTCTCGGCCCCCGGGGGGAGGCCGGGGACTTGGGGGATGGAGATGACGTGGAATTTGACGAGGTCGGGGTAGAGGGACACGTGGCCGAGCTGATGGAGGGCTTTCTTGGGGATGAGGATGGAGACAGGGTTGCCACGTTTCGCGAGCTCATTGGCCAGGAGGATGAAGGGGTTGATGTGGCCCATGGCTACCCATGGGTACATTGCTATGTGAAGCTTCGAGTTTGCTGATTCAGACATCTTTCTTCAACCTCGGCTTCTGCTCAATCTGTCTGATGTATTGATTTAAAGGATCAAGAATATATATATATATATATATATATGTATGCGATTAATGGATGGAACTTTGGTGCAAAATCGAAGTAGAGGTAGTTGTGGCCTTTTTTTTCTTTTGGTAGTTGTGGGAAGTTTGGTGGTAATGGGAAAGGGGAGGATTAGGTTAGTGGGTAAAGGGTTTAGAAGTTAGTGTCGAGCTACCAGAGCTCGCAATAGATCTTAAATCCATTTGTTTATTTAAACATGTTAGAACAGTGAGTGCTTTATAGATAGGCACCCATTATGTGTGTGATGGGACAGGGACAGGGACAGGGAGGGGTCCAATCCCCTCCGGTTAGAACACTGCTTTCGTTTAAAATTTATTCTTTCAAATATAATACTTTTTCTGCTATTTTTTTTGGACGAAAATTTTTTAATATTCGTGTTAAATTGAATTATAGTAAAAATATATATATATATATTCTTATTAATTATAGTAATGATATTTGTGTAATATAGCGTAAGTTATAAACGTATTTATTATATTAAATAAATAATATAATTGTTAAATTAGAAAATAGTAATATTATTTTAGGACGAACAAAAATAAAAAATGACAACCTTTTAATAAAATAGAAGAGAATCGACTAACCATAAATAGACCTATTTATCCTTTTATGGTATGTTTGTTCGGGGGTTTGTATTTTGAGTTTAAATTTGAATAATTGTATGATGTGATATAAATAGGTGTTGATGTGATGTTTTGAATGTAAAATTAATTTTTAGTATAATATAATAAATAAAAAAATAAGTGTTTGATTTGATGTTTTTTTTAGAAAAAAATTGAATAAATAGTGTATTTAAAATCCAATCCCCAAACAAACACGCCCCAATAACGTTTCTTTTTAAATTAAATTTTTACAAATTTTGATATGAAAGAAAACTAAATTAAATAGTAAAACTTATTATACATATATTTAGGTTAGACTCAATTTAACTTAATAATTTTTAAAAATATATATATATTAATATATAATTGAATTGCCGTATTTAAGTTGAAGGCCTTAACTGAATTTCAATCTATTTGTTATTGTGTCAAATTTATTTCAATTCGTATATATAATAAAATTAAAATTTTATGATTCAAACTCAATTATTATTTTATCGAATTGTCGTGACAAATTTTGTCGGCTCGACCAGCTACGACGTAAATTTTACGATTACCTAACCCATTAATATTATAAAAGTCAAAGATCGACTTGGCCCGGAGCAGCATTCCTATGTTGACTTTGACCTTTACTTTTGATTTTGGGTTGGTGTCTTCAATTTTTTATTCATAATTTATAATGAATATTGCCAATAAGCCTGTCTACTTTTATTTTATTTTATTTTTCTTTGGTGTAATGGTTTATAATTCGTTTGGGATTCGAAAATTTTGTAATATATTTTCTTATAATTAAAAAATGGTATATTTTAAAAAGTACTCCCTCTGTCCTGACGTTATTTTTATTTATGTATATCTAGTAACAATGGAAACATTTTTATTTTTTATTAAAAATTATTTGTCAAAATCTCCTAAAAATTAAATAATTTTTTTTTTATATTTTAAAAAATTATTGTACATAAGCTCTCCTAAAAGATATTTTGTATTTTGTATTGGAAATATAAAAAGTTTTATACAATTTTTTAATTTTTTAATTATGATGGAGAATGATGCATACTTTTATATCCACAAGTGAGTTATAAATTTTTTTTTTTTTTCTTTAACATTTTTTCCTAAATATTAAAATATTAAATTTTATGTCCTTTGAAATTATGTTAGTATATATATATATTTGTTTTCTATGTATAATTTATTTATAGTAAAATATCTTATTCACTTATAATTTTATTATTATTATTATTATTATGGTAACGGTTTTGCTACTATATTTTCTATTTATCACATAATTTTTATTAAATTTTTAAACAAAATTTTATAATATTTCTATTTTATCTTTTACTTATATCATATTAATATTAAAATATATATATTTTTTAATATTTGTGCTTACAAAAATCACATAATTATTCCAATTGAAGAGAGTATTTAATTAAGTTAAAAAAAAATGTAAACACAATCAATTGAATAAACAAAGAAATTTTACGTTATGTTTATTTTGAATCAATTGAATTAACAAGAATTGCAAGTAAAAAAAAGTAAACAAAGAAGTTTGATTTTTATTTTTATTTTTATTTTAAGAAAAACGAGAATACTTACATGCTAAATTCAATTGTGTGAATGACAAAAATAAAAAAACATAACATTTATTTTTTTCAAGTAGTTTGATGTTGCAGTAAGGTTGTCACTGTAATCGTACTGCAGTCTGAATTTGTGGCTTGATTTTACTCATTGTGTTCAATCTTTAAATGTTTACAAGAGTCAAATATTGTATTTTGGAAATGGTCAGACTTATGTAGATCATTGAAGGACACTTCATTCATTTTTATGCTAAGGGAAATTAATGTGAAGTGTGTTCTTTTCAAGGATGCATAGATTAGAGAGAATATTATTGAAAAAAAAGGCTCTCACCATCCATCCAGTTCAACTCTCCACATTTTGAATGTGTGTTCTACACTGATATCAGGGGTGTGTTTGTTTGGGGGTTTGAATTTTGAGTTGAGATTTGAATAGTAAAAATTTTGAATTTGAATTGTTGTATGATGTGATATAAATAGGTGTTGATGTGATATTTTCAATGTAAAATTAATTTTTAGTATAATATAAAAAATAAAAAATAGGTGTTTGATTTGCTATTTTTTGGGGGAAAAAATGGGATGAATAGTGTAAATCCAATCCAATCCCCCAAACAAACACACCCCAACTAGAAAGGTCGAAGGTGTTCGGAATTAATGGAGTTCCAACCGGAGGAAATGATCAAGCTCTGGACTTCTTTGTTTTATGGTCGTTGTTAGTACAAGGTTGTAGCAACGCGAACCTGATGAGATATTTTCCTGGGTTAACCCTTGTTAGAAATTTTGGGGGAAAATAATGAGATTGTCTTATCATCCGCCGCCGTTGTTTGCCGTCCATTGTCCGTCCTTCTCCGGTCGTCTCTTTTTTTTTTTTTTTTCGGTCGTCGCCTCCTGCTTTGTTCCCTACGTCGTGGTGTGGTTGGTTTTGTCATCGGAGTTGATCTCGTTTTGCGACTGCTACCTATTGGATTGTTCGATCTACTTTTTTTTTTTTGGGCTTTGATTTCGTGATTCACATATTTTTATACGTTTTTTTTTTGTTATGGAGCATATGGACGTTCATTTACCTATTACTATTATCATGTCCGGCGATAATTATGATCTTTGGATGCAGTCTATGAAAAGTTTCTTGATTGGTAGGAAGTTATGGCGAATTGTCACTGGCGATATCCGACCACCTGTCTCTCCATCTCCTTTTGTGCATGTTGATCCCACCTCTCGGGAGCATGAAGCTTATGTTGCCAAATTGGAAGATTGGGATAGTAAGAATCATCAGATTCTTACTACGCAATACTTCTGTACCTGCGATTCAGGTACAATTGACTCCTTTTGATACTGTAAAGGAGCCATGGGATTTCCTCGCTGCTCTTTTTCAGACTACAGGTCTTGCTCATTATTATCAACTTTGGACCACGATGAGCTCCGCCCGACAGCAACCTGGTCAGTCTGTTAATGAATTTCTTGCTCAGGTTCAGCCTATTCGTTATCGTCTCAGGCAGTCACAAATTAGTCAGGACCATCTTGACTTTATTCAGATCTTGATGGCCCTTCGACCTGAATATGAGGTTGTTTGTGCCTCACTCCTACATCGACATCCATTGCCTACTCTTGATGCTGCCATTCAGGAGATTACTTTTGAGGAGACCCGTCTCTAATTGGCTAAGACACCAAGTTCTGATTTTGCTTTAGTTGTGTCTCGCCAGTCCCGATCTGCTCGTACTGGATGTCGAGTTTGCAAATCTCCTGATCACACTTGGTCTACCTGTCCGAAGATTGAGTGCCACTCATATCGTCTGCATGGCCATATTGCTCCGGTCTGTCCCACAAGATCTCAACGTTCAGGTAGTTCTGCTCCTAGACATTCCGGTAGCTTTGCTCCCAAACCTCGGGAGTCTAGTGGGTCTTCTTCGACTGCATTTTCTACGATTATGGCTGCTACTACTGATGAGACTCAGCATGCGCCTTACAATCCTCACGACATAGAAGCCATCATCAAACATGTTATGCAAACCAATTCTGCTATGTCTACCACTCCAGGTACATCTACTTGGTATTTTGATTCTGGTTGTTGTCACCATATGACCTCTAACCCTCGTAACTTGACCTATATGTCCTCTGTCTCCCATTTACCACCTATATATACTGCCAATGGTACTACCATGCATATTACCCACACCGGTCTTGCGTCCTCCCCTTCCTTATATCTTCCTGATACTTATTGGATCCTTGACTTAGCCTTAAATCTTATCTCTATAAGTCAATTAGTTGAACAAGGTCTTACCGTTACATTCTCTTCTAGTGGTGTGCAGGTTCAGGATTCTCAGACGGGTCAGCTTCTCAGGACGGGACGCAAAACGGGTCGGTTGTTTGAGCTTGAGTCTCTTCATATCTCCTGCACATATCCCCGCTCTGCAGCTCTTACCTTTGATTCCTTTAGTCTTCATTGGCATCTTCGCCTAGGTCATGCGTCTTCCAGTAAGCTCCAGTTACTCCAATCGATTGTCAACTTGGCAAACAACTTGCTCTTAGTTTTTCAGAAAGTTCATCTATTGCTCTGATACTATGTTAGAAATTTTGGGGGAAAATAATGAGATTGTCTTATTATCGTCAAAATAAGGAGCCTATATATAGGTCATACAAAATAGACTCGATAGACTCAAATCTAAGTAATCTAATCTATGAATAAGATCAAATCTAGATATAAATCTACTAAATCTGAATATCTAAAATATCTCAACAACCCTGACAAGCGTTAGAGTTAAATGAGTTGTGGTTGTTTGTGTCCTTAATCAGCCTTAGTTAGTGGAATTCCTCCTGGATTGGTATCTCCAGATGTAGATTTGTTGATAATCGAATCGGGTCAACAAACACTTTGTCTCATTGTTGTTTTATGTTCTGTATTATATTTCGTTGTTAAAACATTGTTATAACTGTGAAACGCCCACATTTAGGGAATTGGCCCTTTAAAAGGTTCG